GGGGGGGGGGGGGGGGAAATCGGTGCCATACTGCATAGTTTCATCCTTCCCCAGCTCACCAGATTTGGAAGGGCCTGGGGACCCTCTCCCATGAACCCCTGCCTTTTCTTGCTGCTAAAAACCTGGGTGCATGTTGCATTAAAGCACCAAACTGTATTTCTTCCTAATTTACTTCTGGTTCACAGCCTGAGTTGCACGTTGTTCTGATGTTTGAATGTGGGAGGGGAAGGGGGTATTAATGCCTACTTCTCATTGAAAATAATTTAATTGAAACTCTGAAAGGTCTGAGCAAGCAAAAAGGTTAATCTGCCTTCCAGCTCTCTTGAAATAGGGCTGCTTAATTATATGTTAGCAAAGAAATGCTACTTATCCTTGCCCTTCCCCAAATCACAGGATGTCCATGTGGTTCTCACATAAATGTTGATAATGCATGTATTGGACCCAATGCCTGGCATCTAGAAACTGCTTGTGCATTGATTTTTTTTTCTCCTCCACTTCTTCACTTTTTGGAAAACTCCTAGAAAAACACCAGCAGCAAGGGAGACAGAGTCCTGCCCTCTGTCATTTCCCTGAATTACTTCCACTCCACTGCAGCTGTGGGTGGGTCGCTGGTATTAAATCCCTTGGCACAGTAGCATTATTATATGGGTTTTTCCTGAAGCAGGGGCTGAACCAGTTTGGGAAATGCTGTTCTGGGGACAAATCCAAACTCCTTCTAGGAATTCCAGTTATGCTAGGCTGTATGCTAAGCTATAGTCAACTACAGTGCCAAAAAAGCAGTAGGGGAGAAAGGGGCCTCCTGACCACTGGATGACCCAGTAAGAAAAAAGAAATAAAGAAAATAAACATGCACTAATGAACAAAAAGACATTGAAGGGAGTATGAAAACAGCAGCTACTAATGAGAGTGCAGGTGTGTAAACTTGGAGGGACTTGTCCCTCACAGGTTAGGCACAGACATTACACATAAACTGGTTTAAGAGATCTGGTTTAAACCTGTAACAGAATATAAGCTCAGTGCATATAAACCAGTTTCAAAATAGCCCAAACCGGTTTGAGATAAAGCTGGTTGAATGTAGTATCAGACATAACTGACTGAGTTCAAACCAGTTTATGCAATGTCTGTCCCAGACCCCTTTCTGGTTTAAGTTAAACCAGGGTCCCCCAGCAACGCTGTCTGGGCTGGGGTATCTGCTCCAGCCGTCTGCTCCCTAGCCGTTATTTCCCCCCTCCCTCTGGTAGAGGGGGCTTATCCTGCCACTCGATCCCTGCAAGGGATGGTGATGGCAGGGTCGGCAGTGGTGGGGGTCAGGGCAGTCAGACCCTACTGTGGTCCCTTGGAGGCAGAGGGGGGAATAACCCCCACCCTCCCTGCCTAAGGGACCCTGCTAGCTAGGCTCTGGCTCTGACCCCACTCCCAAAGCAGTGATGGGGAAGCGACCGTGTTGGGGGCTGAAGCCCTTGTCACGGTGTCCCAGAGCGTGAGCCTCTTCCCGGCAGGGGTCCACACTGTGGGCAAGGGGGAGGGAAGTTGCCTCAGATGAGCAGCGGCACTTGGGGCAATGGCCCTCTCTGAGCCCCCATGCAGTCCACAGCAGCACTGACCCCTGCTTGTAGTCCCCCCGCTGAGAAGAGGCTCATGTTCCCCAGACATCAAGACAAGGGCTGCAGCCCCCATCAGGGCCCTGACCCCTTGCTGCTCCAGTGGCAGGGTCGGGGCCCGATCAGAGACTGGCCAGCAGGGCCCCTTAGGCGAGGGAGCAGGGAAGGGGGTTATCCCCCCCTCCCTCTGGTATCTGGTGGAGGGGGCAGGAGAGGGTTTGCCCCACGCAGGAAGTGAATGGGGTGGTGACAGTAAGGGTGGGCAGACCCTGGTGTGGTCCCCCAAGGGCAGTGGGCGTAGAGGGTGAAATAACCCCCCTAAAGGGGGGGAATAACTCTCCTCCCTGTCCCCTTTGCCTCAGGGGCCATACCGGCTGGTGCTTGGCCGTGCCTTGGCTCTGCTGCTGCAGCAGCAAGTGGGGAGTGTCAGGGAGACCCTGGCCTGGGTCTGTGCAGGTAGGACAGGGAGGGGGGGAATTAAATCCCTCTGGCCAGCTCACTTTGAGCTACTGCCAGGGGTGGCTATGCCCCCTCAGCACAGCTTCCCTGCAGCCAAGGGCTGCTCTAGCACCCCCCAGCTCCTGGCCTGAGCAAGTGCAGTCATGTGCCTGCATTTCCTCAGTCCAGAGGGAATGTATGTGCAGTTGCAAACTAATTCAATGTAGGCAGGGTGGACTAACCTGCAAAGATTGAGTCAGTTCAGGCTCCGGCTTTTTGAACGCCTGTTCCTAGCCATAGAGACCTAGGGGAGAGTGAATAACATATGGTGTCTCTACCTGTCAAGGGCAAGCTTTGCTAAGCTGGACTGATTGTTAATCAGATCAACTGGTGTGCCATCTGACGACAATAAACCTTTCTAAGCTTTCATTATTGAACACATATCCGAGTGGTGTTTTCTGTGTCACCTTAGGGATCTGGAAGACAGCTTGTTAGTGTCAGCTTTCCAGACCATACAGACTTCAGCAGGCTGTATATCAAAAACCAACAGCAACCAGATACCATTAGAGAAAACACTCTGCTCACCTCAGAACAACATTCCTGAGCATAACCAGGATTGCTATCGACTTCCAACCATCAGCAGTCTCTTGAAAACAGACACCTGACCACTGATGGAGGATGCCAGATGAGCAGTCACAAGGAATTTCCCAGCTGCCTTCTCTCCCAGTACCTGCCTACTGGATGCATATATGCCATTGGTCCCACACTTTGAGATTTTCAGCTTTTTCTTACTTTTCATAGTCGCATATAGATTTTAATGAGCTTTTCATTGCTTCTTGCTGGGATCTTGCAGAGTACAAGGATGAGACAACACAGGTCCTCCTGCACAGACACAGAGCAAGTTCTGAGAGGGACCACTCTGTGAGGCTGCCTTATCTGCTGTTTTCCATGGGGCATTGCTGGACTTCAGCAGAAGAGTGCTGACAGCCTTTCTAGAGCAGCAAGCCCAGAAGCAGAATATAAAAAAAACTCAAATAACCCTTCTGACTCCTCCATCCTCGTCATACGTTGGCCCTACTGTGCAAGAAGCCATGTCCTGGGTGACATGTTCTTCATGCCCTTCCTCCATTTGCCAAGGGGAAACCAGAAATCAAGGATCCTTTCTGGCAAATATTCTCCACCCTTCCCCCGGCACACACTGGGGCAAGGTGGCCAGCAGTCACTTCCAGCAGTGGGGGCTCTGCATGTTACGAGGGCTCTTGTGGCAGCACATGACTAGGCTGATGTCCCTGTCCTTCTACGTGCTTTGCAGGTAGAAGTCTCAACACTACATGAGCCAACCCTCACCATGAGCCCCTGAAAGACCTGAACCAGCAGGGAAGATGAAGCCATCAGGACTTGGTCAAAACTCATGGGAAGAGCCCTTGAATAGGAAACCATTCCCAGCCGAGACAGCATAGATGAGAACCTGTTCTGGCTCTGGGGCACGTGACACATTGGATGGTGACAACCACTCCTTGTGGTCAGCAGCACTGCTCTGGCTTACATGTCCACATCCTGCGTCCCCCTCAGACCTGTGAGCCGTATGGGACAGGCACAGACTTCCCAGCAGGCAGGCACTGGGAAAGATTCCCACGGCTGCAGCACCCCATGCTCTCAGCCACAATATAGACTTGGGGATTGGGTGCTCTTACACTGTCCTCTGCAGGCCAGGAGCAGTACTGCCTGCCAAGCTGTACTGCCGGTTGCTAAAGAGACTGTGGGCCAAGACAGCCCCCCTCCAGTTGCAAACAGTGCTCAACCTCAGCTCCACAAGCTACATCTGGCCCACCATGCTGAGTCACCTGGCCTGTGGGGCT